ATAAAAATTGTTATTTTCAATCACAGTTCCCCTGTCTACGTTATTCGCGATTGACGATGAAATAGCTGAGCATAACCAACGTGACAGAAGATGAGTTTATGAAGCGGAAACCATCAATTTCAATGTCGAGTTATGAAGTAGCAAGAGGGCGCGGTGCGGCGAGGCCGCCATTTTGAATTTAATAAACTCAAACATCACCGTGGGAGCCATAACTGGCTAACGCTCCGCCATTTTTGTGGCTTCATACTGATCGATGATATGAATATTACAAGCTACAATACCTATTGACCTATAGGTTTAATCCAAAAACACTTTATTCCAAAATTATACACATATGTTAAAAAAGGTTTTACAATATTAAAATAAACATCTCTTGATTAAAGCTGTAAAAATAAAAAAAAACTAACTAAAATAATTTGACAGTTACAATAACATAAACAACTAAGAACATGCCAGCAAGGAAATTAAGGAATGTAGCAAGCCTTTTAAACTAATATTTTTTCATTCCTAGAACTGAATATAACAGTCTCTACCGTTGTTGAGGAAGGTTGTTAGAAGGGGTTTCTTAATTGTACAAATATTATGTTGAGAAATAAAAGATCGTCTCTTGAAAAAATCAAATGTAACTCGAAAATCAATGTCTGCATAAAAAATAAACAACAAGATACGGTTGTTTTCGTATTAGCATTCGGGGAGATGAAACTAAATAAGGGAATATCAAGACGTAGTAAACAGAAATGAGAAATTCAGATGAGACCTTTGTGTCCAATGTTCTAAGTACAACAACGCATGTACTTACACGTTTATCGTGTATTCAAAATCTACAGAATTTAGACAATAGTGTAAATGGATACCTACAAATTTAACAAATTCTTGAGTTTAAATAAGTTGAGACATATTTTGAAGGATATGACTGATTACAAATGTAAATAAGTTCTTTTGATACTTGATTACAGTTAGCCATACACTGAAAATCGAAATGGATATAAAAGTGATGCGTGCTACATCATGATACCCCTAAAGTTAATTTAACTTAATGATTGGACAGCTACTTAAAATTCTAATGATTTTCAGAAAACGACGTATATAGGTATGATGGTTAATAATAATAACAATTTTGGAACCCCTTATAAAACAAAAGGAAGAAAGTTAAGTGTTATGGTATTGGTTAAGTGTTGGACACTTGTATTTTTTACAACAAATTGACAACAACGTAAGAATTTGAAGTCATGTCAAAGTTCGATTAATTGTAAAATAAACCTTTTTTGACTTAGGTATGTCGTAAATATTTACCAACTGTTGCAAATGCATATGAAACAGGATTGAAGAGGTATGCATTTTAAACAGATTTTCAAAGGCCCTGGGATGGTTAAATATATTTGGATTTATGTTCAAGACAGATGAATTCAGTCATGTCTGAATGGTAAAAATAAATCGTTTCAAGCTATACCAGGTTTAACTAGTAAACCCACAGCCACAAAAATGGCAAACGCAAACAACTGAGCGAACCATTGAGTGAAATTTCAATTTAGGAAGTTGTTGTTAATACTATATAAACGCAGAACAAATTGCAGAAATATTTGATTACAACAATTTTTGAAATCGTTATTATATCCTGGATATTTATAGATTACCCTTAACTTTCGTTATTCTCTTTTTTACTATACAGTAATATGCTTATTGATTTTTTTTTCATGACACAAAAACTTAACCATCTCCGGACCTTCCAAACACCCTGTTACATTGGTTTTACTCGTTTGAGCCCCCGGCATATGCATTTGCAAATGCAGTTTTGTAGTTATAAATTCGAAGCATGAAAAAATTAGTGAACACTTAAGAGTCTTTTAAAACAACTTATATGTTAGCCGATGGAAGATTATTTAAGTACAATAATCGTAGACTAAATTGATAACATACTGAGATCGCAAGACAAATTTGTATGACTATTTGTATTTCAGTTCAGATTTGATTCAATTTTGACCGAAGTATAAATATGTCAAATAAAAGTAGGTTTTGTGTGAGCTTAAAATACACACATTAATAGCAATTTTATACAGTAACAATTTTATAGATTTCAATTCCAAAAATGGTTTTTTATGGGATAATTGGTAGTATTTTACCATGGTATTTTAATTTAACGTAGAAGTAAGTTATGTATTCATCATCTTTCTGGTGTAAAAGTCACTGTTATAATTTTAATAGGCATAGTTAAAACACTCTCATTCATTTAACATTTTAAATGAAAACATGCACTCTATTTGAAATAATTTTTAATTAGAAACAAATATTTTACATAGTGGTCAGGTTTATATTATTCTTATTTCCTTTTCTACACGAGTAAGAGTTTAATTGATAGTCAGTTTTATATATACTTGTATAATAATGGTCTAAAAATCCCCAACAGAGATCCAGTATATTAATTAAAATTAAAACCATAGTTCCGATATTAAAAATAGTATTCATAACAAGAGGGTAGAACTTTCATTACATTTGTAACTCTTATTTAACAAAACCAATTCACACCAAGCGATTACTTGTTATATTACAATTACAGACCATGTTGTAAATACAATTTTTTATTATACATTTTAAGAGGTTAAATGTAACAAATAATTGAGACACTAAGTTAGTATCAATAAAGAAAAATTTGCATTATTTCCCTAACTGATATGATAAATCTGTATATTATTACAAAAAAGTATATTGGCAAAAGTAAAGATGCAACGTAATCGCATCAAAAGTATTTGTATTGTTTTTAAAATTAGGCTGCAACTACCATCAGATAGAGCCGAAGCTATTGGAAGGTTAGAATGGCCTTAGTCGTTGGAATGTAAAATCAAATTAAAACATGTCAACCTTACGGTAATATTAGTTTACTTTTTCGAACATTTTCATTTTACTTCGAAGCCTTAATGTTTAAGTTTTTAATAGTTTTTTATTATTATTAACACGTGATTTGGCCTTTGAATTATCTATTTAGTTTTATCACTATAATATGTGACAAAGAAACCCAGAAGTTCAGCATAGGCTACCATAATAAATTGAAACTATCTATTATACCAAGGACATGTTTAGCCTTTCTATGGCCGTATAAAAGCTTTACACGATCTGTACATTTTTCAAATATTTTAGAGCAAAACACCCCTTTTCTGTGCTTCAAATCCACAAACCATTCTTCATAATTAATTTACTATTGAAATGATTAAAGGTTGCTTTTTCTCTCTCTTGAAACCTATGTTATTACTTTGATTATGTCTTGTATTTCGAATCTTTCCATGAGGGAAACTTTTAATTTACTCCTGGTTTTAGCTTTTTTTTATTTGATTCGTTAGTTTTACTTTAAAACGTTGTTTTGGCTTGGGTCCCTGAAACGTAATAGGACCTAGGTTTCGTTCAATACGATATTGTATTTATTTAGCTACTCCGGTAAACTGTCTAGAATGACAATTATATAAAATACAATCAAATTGTTTGCAAAACATTACCAAATAATGAATGAAATATTGATAATTGGTGACATTATATTCTTGTAAGCTAAATGCACTTTGTTACATTTTGAGAACAGGGAATGCTACTTTATTTGCGGTATAACCAAGGTTGTACTTTAACCCCTAATAGCTTAAATTTATGAAAAAGCTCCAGCCACATGTATATATCCAGAGCCGTGAATTATATTGTTATGTTATCGGGAATTCATTCCAATGAGATAGTTGTCTTTAAGTTGTAGGATATACAGGGAATATTTTTATATTGATGCAAATTTCAATCTTTGCCGAAGAATATTATTTTTAGGTTAAATGTACCTGAAAAGTACAATTATATAAAGAGGGGGAGCAACTCCGCACGAATTTTATGTTGGAGATTAAAATTAATTGTTGACTTATCAAAGATCCTAAATGTAACATCAAATTATGGCAAATGTTGAAATGTAAGCATGTTCCTTAGCAAGTGCCACATTAGACAATTATGGCAATGCATAACCTAAAAATATACATGATTTCATTGAGTATGTCCAAGAATTTCATAATACCGATGGAGTAGGGGAATTCTATACATTACATATATCATGTTCTATTTTAAATTCAGTACTGTAGAAATAGATGAAAACTGGTATCATAACACCACAATAATATTTATGTGTGAAATTATTAAAAAAATAATAGTGAAAGTATATTAATATAAAATAGAATAAATATCTGTACAATGGGATTTAAAACTCACCACGATTCAACATCAAAAGTGTGAAATCTTACAATAATTATCTTATGTAATATTCGGAAGTTTAGAATACTCAAAACAGTTGAGATAGATCAAAAATTGAGAATAAATTAATTTTTATGTAACACACAGACAGTTGGTATTATTGACGTTACAGTTGTGGGTGTTTAGCCTATGTTATCAACATTGTTAGTATAACCAGTGATGATTGGTTATTTTGACAGTTTACCGGTTTTCTAGGCTAAATTCGTTTAACGCTTTCACACAGATATAAACTCGCAAATAATTTGAATCAATAAATTATATTGTACTATTTGTACTATATTGATATAATGTTTGTAAACATTATACATATAAAGTATAATGTTTATAATAAAGTATATAAGTAAAGTATAAAGTATATATAAAGTAGTATAAAGTATATATATATATATATATGTTTATAATGTTTATAATAAAGTACATCAAAATGGAATTTCCGTTGGAATAGAATAATATAAAATAAATGTCCATACATCCAATAGCTATTATTATTAATGTTATAATTCCTAACAATGTAAACCTCTGGTTCCTGTGGTTTGGAAAAATGTTTGTTTTACATTCGTTTCAGTTTAGTTGAATTTGCGTACCTAACCACAAAAAGCACCATAACCCCCAAAATGGAATAATAAAAATTAAGCATACATGAAAACACTGTTAGGGTGAATGTCCATATATAGTCTAACAGTACAGTAAGATAGTTAGGGGTTGTTAAGTCTACATAGTTTTACTACATGTGTCACCTGAGGTTATGCGTGGACGGAGGTGAAGGTCGTCATATCCTGTCTCGCTGTCTCGTAGGGGTGTAACCACGACTCTCAACTCTCTGTTCCCGGCTGGCGGCTGGCGGCAGTTACTTTCCTACAGGACCTTTGCAGCCCGGACACGACACGAGTTATTTGTTCCCGGAATTCATAGACTTCAATGATAGCTTGAAAATCCAATAAGGGGACAATCCCTGATTGACCCGCCGGCTAGCCCCGCCCCCAGAGCATCAGCCAATGGGGTTGGAGGGCGGGGCCACCCCTTGCGTGTATTGACGCGTTCACACCGACGATTAGTTTATTGTTTTAGCTGAATTTTACACCGATTTCACCGCGATCCACGGGTTTCCGGGCCCAACGCCTTTTTGCCATCCCGCTGTTCGCCGCGTCTCGCCTCATAGCAGGCGATTGTTTTCTAAATGTGTTAAGGACGCCTTCGTTATTTCCCAGATCGATTTCAGGACAGGTCGGAGTCAAGTTTTCATTTTGTCGTTTTGTTCTGATGTCCCCTACTAGGATCGTCAAAACCTATCCTGTTAGCAATGTGTATGCTGTCCGATTTTTACGGTTTGTTATTCCGACCAAATCACACTATCCGCTTTCATACTTGGATCTGTATCTATTTTACATTCGAGGGGTTAGGGATGTTAATAGCGACATGTTTAAATATGAAGTATATAATTTTACTTTGGTTAGTAAAGAATTTTGAGTGAAATTAAAACAATTGTTATCATAATCACAAATACATACATGCACATAAATATGTATAATCAATATAGGATTTTCCATATCAGTTCTTATGACAGTAAATGTAATGCAACGATATTGATGCTTTAGTAATATATTTGTTCGAATGGAATGCCATTGTTTTGATATAAGGCATAATAAAGACATAATAAGGCATAAAAGGCATAATATATCGATCGCTTCGCAAATACGCGCAGTTGATCTTGTCAATGGGTATAGGTATAAAGACGACAAGTCCATACAATACATTCAGGTATGAAAATAAATACCGTATTTCAAGTATAAGAAGGAAAAACTAAATACAACTCGCAAAACCAGATCCAATACAAAATGCAATAAATACAAGTAAACTGGGGTACCACTTTACGGATGCCAGTAGATATAATAGGACAATATGACCCCACTTTCGGCGTTTTAGAGGCACTTTTAGGGCACTTTTTATAGGGGAAAAATGAGAAAAAAATGGAAGAGCTTTTTTTGGCCACTTTTTTTAAAGATCCAGCTCTCGACCTATACACCCCTATATAAATTTTCTACTTTTGTTAATACTAAAAATCACGTCTGGAATATGGCTCATTTTTTGGCCACTTTTTTAAAAGACCTGGATCTCGTCCAATACAAGCCTATATAAATGTTCAAACTCTATTAAAATTTCAAATCCACATCCATTCCCATGTATATTTTCAAAATCATGTGAGGTTTGTGCGTGAACTCGGGCATGCTTATGGCTATGTGTAAACTATGCCTGACTCAAATGAATGACTGTGAGTGTAACCTAATGACCCCAATCAAAACCAATTGTCAACATTCTCTGCCTGTCTGGCGCCAGTCTGTCTGGGGCAGGTTTAGACAATTACCAAATATGTTTGATTGATTGACCTCAATTATTCAATTGTTCAATTTCAGTTTGTTCAATTTCCATTGTTAAGTTCTAAATTAATTTAGACAATTTTGTGGTATATAAGGGGGGCATTCTACGGAATCATCACTAACTCTTCCACCTGGATCTTCTTGTTTTGGTAAGTCTTTGACATCTAAGCTAGACTATTGTAATATGTTGTCGCGTGTCGGGTCATGGGATCAATTGGTGATGTAATTGATGCTTGTACTCATAGGCCTACTCTGTATTTCTTTTAACTTAGGAGTGTAGCTAATTTCCCGAGTCCATTTTTCAAAACTTAGCCGAATTGAGTCACTAAGGAACTTGTAAAAAATGTATATAAGTCTATTTTTAAACACTTAGAGTATTTTGAACAGTCACTAAGGAACTTAAAATGTATATAAGTCTATTTTAAAAAACTTAGCCAAATTCACTCATGACTTTCAGTCAAAAGTTTGCACAAGTTATTATTTAAAAACTTAGCCGAATTATACTCACTATATAATTTTGTCGAGTTCCTTTTAACATAGGTAACATAGTCTTCTCTATAACTAACACTCACTCTGTATATATGTAGACTCAGCATTCTGAATTGCTAAAAAGTATTTTTACTTAAGATTTTGGATTTAGTTTTGATTTAAAAAATTGCAATTGCCAAATTTTATTGTATGAAATTGTTTTGAATATTAAAATTTAAAATTCTGATTTAAATTATTATTTCCCATTAATTGAAATTGTCTAAAATGTAATTTCCATCATATAGAAGATGCTAACTTTGTTTTTTAGTTACATGTCAACTGTGTGCTGCTTCTCTATCCAAAAAAATAACTTATTTTGTTATTACTATTTTTAAGTGAGTCAAAATTGTGCACAAGTTATTATTTAAAAACTTAGCCAAACTTCATGCACCGGGGGACTTTGAGTTAAAAGTGTGTACAAGTTATTATTTAAAAACTTAGCCAAATTCACTCACGGGGGGGGGACTTTGAGTCAAAAGTGTGTACAAGTTATTATTTAAAAACTTAGCCAAACTTCATGCACCGGGGGACTTTGAGTCAAAAGTGTGCACAAGTTATTATTTAAAAACTTAGCCAAACTTCATGCACCGGGGGACTTTGAGTCAAAAGTGTGCACAAGTTATTATTTAAAAACTTAGCCGAATTATATTCACTATATAATTTTGTCAAGTCTCCTTTAAAATAGGTAACACTCACTCTGTATATATGTAGACTCAGCAATCTGAATTGCTAAAAAGTATTTTTTATTTAAGTTTTTGGATTTAGTTTTGATTTAGAAAATTACAATTGCTAAATCTTATTGTATAAAATTGTTTTGAATATTAAAATATAAAATTCTAATTCAAATTATTATTTCTCATTAATTGAAATTGTCAAAATGTAATTTCTACTATATAGAAGATTCCAACCTATTTTTTAATTACATATATAAAAATGAAGACTACATGTCAACATTGTTTTGCATCGCTCTCCAAAAAAAGCAACCTGATTCGCCACTACAAGGTAATACATAAAATGAAGGTGAAACTGTGCAAAGTTTGTGATATAATCTGTGATAATAACATGGCTCTAAAATCTCATATATTACAAACTCATAAGACTTGTAATTTCTGTAAAAGAAATGTTGTTGGTCATTTTAAAAGACATGTAAATTCTTGTAACAAATGTCCATATACAATGATTAAATTTGTTGGTGAATCGATTAAAACTGAACTTAAAAGTACTCTTCAGTCTTGTCCTCTACCAATAAAATGGACTTTAGTAAGGAGAATCAAATTTTTAAAATATACAATAGATCAAAATGGAAAATTAGTTAATGAGAAAGAATGTATTGCAGATTTTAGAAGCCTTACTACCTTAACCATTGAGAAGAGAGATTTAAAGCCTCAAATTGAAAATGCCCTTTTAAAGATTGACGCTTCCATACACAAATATCAAGCCGAAGGCAGTGGATGGATTTATGACCATACTAAATATTGGCAGTTGCACGTTTACAAGTATAAGCCCCTAACTCCAAAGTCATACATTCCCACACCAAAAAGTATTAAATTGACAAAAGCAGTTTTAAATATAAAGAATGTTGATAATAAATGCTTCCTTTGGTCAATTTTAGCAGCTTTACATCCAAGGAATGCTAAACATGCTAATAGAGTCTCTAACTATGCACCCTACGTAGGTAAGTTGAACATGACAAATATAAAATATCCCGTAAAAATATCTGACATAGATCAATTTGAAAGAAAGAATAATATAAGTGTTAATGTATTTGGAGTTGAAGACCAAAAATTTATATATCCATTAAGAAGAACCAAACTGAATAGTAACACTCATATAGATCTATTATTATTACAACAAGGTCGTAAATCACATTACTGTTTAATTCGTGATTTTGATAGGTTAATGCTACGGTCTACGAAACAAGACCACAAGAAGTATTTTTGCAAGTTTTGTTTACAACATTTTTACACCAAAGATAAATTAGAATGTCATATAACATATTGTAAGAACTTTGATGCACAAAGAGTGGAAATGTCTAAACAAGATACATTACAATTTAAAAATTATAAATATCAACTTAAAGCCCCATTTGTGATTTATGCTGATTTTGAGTGCTTTATAAACTCCAATATACATATTCCATCGGGATTTGCATTTGTCGTAGTAAAAGATTCTAAGATTATTTCTGAAGAGTTATATAGTGGTGCAAATGTTATGGATGTGTTTTTTGAAAGATTATTTGAGACTTATGATTTTATTAAAAATCAAATGGCAATATATATCCCCCTTGTAATGACTCCTGAGCAAGAGGCATCTTTCCAAAACTCAACACATTGTCATATTTGTGAAAAGCCTCTATATTTTGATAGGGTACGGGAACATTGTCATTCAAATGGCCAATACCGTGGAGCTGCCCACAATGATTGTAATTTAAACTATAAAGTAACAAAGAAAATACCAGTATTCTTCCATAACTTGAAAAATTACGATGGACATTTAATAATGCAACACTTGGGAAAATATAATCGTAAATTAAATTGCATAGCCAAAGATATGGAAAAGTACATTTCATTCTCTGTTGATGATTTAGTATTTTTAGATTCCTATAACTTTCTGTCCCTTCCATTATACAAATTAGCTTCCAATTTAAATACATTTAGATTTATAGACAATCCACTACTACAACGCAAAGGCGTATTTCCCTATGAATATATGACAGGACCAGATAAGTTTGCAGAGTCTCTACCTCCAATTGAAAAATTTTACAGTACTTTAACTAAAGAACATATCTCTCCCATCGAATATGAACATGCTATAAATGTCTGGACCCATTTTAATATACATAATTTACAAGAATATCATGATTTATATCTTAAAACAGATGTATTGCTACTGGCTGATGTGTTTGAGACATTTAGAGACCTGTGTTTAAAGGATTACAAACTTGACCCCGTACACATGTATTCAC